AGAAGAGCTAAAGAAATTAAAGAGATTTTTTAAAAAAGAGCAAAAGAATGATTTTTTAAAAATCAAATGAGTGTTAGAGGAAAAATTGGGGAAAACAACTGAGATATGCAAGAAAATTATGAAAATAGAATTAATAGTATGGCAAAAGAGGCACAAAAAAAGTGAAGAAAATAACTCCTTAAAAGTCAGAATTGGCCAGATGGTAACAGAGGTACAAAACCTCACTGAAGAAAATACACTTTTTTTTTTTTGGAAAATACTCTTTAAAAGTAAGAACTGGTTAAATGGAAGCTAGGAAGATAGATTGAGGAGAAATAATTGAAGAATTATTAGACTACCTAAAAGCTGTGATTTACATATAGCCATCATAGTTCAAGAAGGTGTAAAGGGAAATTGTCTAGATATCTTAGAGCCAGAGGGCAAAGTAGAAATTGACAGAATCCACCACTTACCTCCTGAATGAAATACCCAAACAAAACCACACAGAATTATTATACCTAAAATCCAGAGCTCTTAGATCAAGGAGAAAATATTGCAAGCAAACAGAAATAATTTAAATGCTTTGGATCCACAGTCATGATCATGCAAGATTTAGCAGCTGCTACAGAAGAAGAATGGAGGGCTTGAAATACGATTTTCCAGAAGGCAAAGGAGCTAAGATTATAGCCAAGATTAACTTACCCACCAAAACTTAAGTATAATAGTACTGGGGAAAAATGGATATTTAATGAAATAGGGGTCTTTCAAGTATCCCTCATGAAAAGGCTAGAGCTGAGTAGACAATTTGCATTCTAAGAAAAGACTCAACAATAAAAAGGTAAACATAAGTATGAACTCATAATTTAATAAGGTTAAATTGTTTACATTTCCATATGAGAAGATGATACATGTAATCCCTAGGAACATTATCACTGGTCCAGTTCAAAGCAGTCTACTTAGCTCAAAGGGCAGGAGTATGAGTCTACTTTGTTGGGATAATGACAAAAGAAGAGTGGAAGGGTCAGAAAAGGATGTGCTGGGAGAAGGGGGAAGGGAAAGGAATAGTGGTGAAAATTATATATGGTTGTCCTTCTTTTTCAAAGAGAACCAAAACAACATCACTATGTTATATTCAAGCTACGATACGTCTGACTGTGGCTGATCAGACCAGTATGAGCTTGGAATACTCTACTACAGGTTGGGCACAAATAGTTCATATGAACATTTGGGGTGGATTCTCTAAATTTGTGCATCTCATGTTTCTTTTGAGCTACTTCAATTCAGCTTTGCTCATAGAGCATAGCACCTTCTTTGATGAGGGTGTGCCATGCTGGACAATCTTGTGCCAGTCTCCCATATTATGCAATTCATTGCAAAGTTCTTCAGACAGGCCTTGAGAGCATCCTTGTATCACTTTTTCTGACCATTATGTGAGTGCTTGCTCTGTGTGAGTTTTCCATAAAATAGTCTAACAGAAAAGAAATTTATCTAACATAAAAGAGGCATGCAAGGAAGAGTTTTTACAACACGGGAAAATGGGGAAGGGGAATCCGGTCATTGGTTCAGGAAGGTTGTATTGTGTATTATATACACATGCAGTTGGGTATAGATAATCATCTTGCCTATCAGGGAAGTTGGAGGGGAGTGGGAAGGAGTAATTAGAGGGAAGACAGATTAAGGGAGACAGTTGTTAGAAGCCAGATGTTCTTTGAAGTTGGGGACAGGCAATAAAAAGAGAAATAGAGAATAGGATGGAGAGAAATTCAGTTCACAATCATAACTGAATATGGAATTGAATGAACTGATCCGTAAAATAAGAGGGGAATAGAATGCATTAGAAACTAGAATCCAGCAATATGTTTATAAAAGACACACTTGAAATAGAAAAACCTATACAGAGTTAAAATAAGAGGCTTGAGCAGGATCTGTTATGCTTCAGCAGAAGTGGAAAGGGCAGGGGTAGCAATTATGATCTCAGAGAAAGCAAAAATAAAAGAGATAATCAAAGAATCTACGTTTTGTGCAAACGGACCATGGACCATAAAGCAATATAAATACTGCTCATACAGGCATCAAGTTACATAGCATCTTGAAGGAAAAATTAAATCAGAGGAGTATATGAAAAAATATGAAAAATTAAACCATAGTGGGGTACTTCAGTTCATTTCTTTTAGACCTAGGTAATTCTAATCACAAAATAAGGAGGATGATAAGGAGAAAAATAACATTTTAGAAAAATTCAATATTGTAGGTATCTGGAGAGTATTGAATGGGAATATAAAGGTGTATACCTTGTTCTTATCTGTTTATTACACTGCAAAAATGACCATGTATTAGGGTATAAAAATCTCACAAATATCTATAGAAAAGCAGAAACAGTAAATGTACCCTTTCAGACTATAGTGCAACAAATATTGCATTCAATAAAGGGCCTGTGAAGAATAGATTAAAAATTCATTGGAAACAAAATAATCCAGTCCTAAAGAGTGAGTAGGTCAAAGAATAAATCATAGGAACAATAATTTTTTTAAAGTGAATACAACATCAGAATTTGTGGTATGTAGACAAAGCAGTACTTGGGGGAAAATTTGTATCCTTAAATGCACCGATCAGTGAAACAGAAAGAGCAGATGAATAAATTGGGTATGCAACTAAAAAAAACTAGAAAAAGAACAAATTTAAACTCTCCAATTTAACACCAAATTGGAAATCCTAAAAATCAAATACAAAATTAATTAAAAATTTAATTTTGTTGTGCAGTCCTTTTAGACCATGTCTGATTCTTTGTTGACCCTATTTGGGCTTTTCTTGGCAAAGATACTAGAGTGATTTGCCATTTTCTTCTTCAGCTCATTTTACAGATGAGGAAACTGGGGCAAACCAGTGGTTTGACCAGTCACAGTCCCACTAAGTATCTGAGGCCAAATTTGAACTCAGGTCTTCTTGGCTCCAGGCCCAGTGCTCTGTCCACTGTGCTACTTAGCTGCCCCAAACTTTTAACTAGAAACTGGTTTTATGAAAAAATCAATTAAAATAGATAAGCCATTGATTAATTTGATTATTAAAAAAAGAAAGAAGACAACCAAATTACTAGTACAAAAAAATGAAAAGTGTGAATGGGCCACTAATGAAGTTGAAATTAAAGCAATATTGTTAGGAGCTGTTTTGCCCAATTTTATCCTAGTAAAACTGACAATCTAAAGGAAATGGATGAATATGTATAAAAAATATAAATTGCCCTGACTAACCAAAAAGGAGACAGAAGATTTAAATAACTCTTTATTTAAAAAAGAAATTGAAAAATTCATAAATGAACTCCTAAAGAACTCAGGACCAGATGGATTTATAAGTGAATTCTATGAAACATTTAAAGAAAGATTGGAATACTATACAAACTAATTTCCTTATTCAGTACCATACCAAACAACCAAAGAATTTTTTAATGGAACTAGAAAAAAAACATAATTTATCTGCTGGAACAAAAGATAAAGAATATCGAGGGAATCAATGAAAACAAAAGTTAAGGAAGATGGCGTAACAGTACCATATCTCACACTGGCCTATAAAGCATTAATCATCAAAACAGTCTCATACTGGATAAGAAATGGAGTGGTTGATTATTGTGATAGAGTAGGTACACAACGTACTGAAGCAAATGAGCACAGTAACCTAGTGTTTGGTAAACCCAAAGATCCAAGCTTTTTGGGGTGAGAACTCCAAATTTGACTCCATATTTGACAAAAACTTATGGAAAAATTAGAAAGTATTCTGGCAGAAACTAGGTATAAACTAACATTTCACACTGTATACTAAGATTAACTCAGAGTCAAAGTTGGCACGTGATTTAGATGTAAAGTGTGATATAAGCAGTTTAGGGGAGCATGAAGCAAATTGTCACATCTATGGATAAAGGAAGAGATAGAATTATGAAAGAGGTGAAATGGATACTTTTCATTACATAAGATTAAAGGTTTAACACAAACAAAATTTATGCAGCCAAAATTAGAAGAAAAGGGGGAACCTAGTTAAAAAAAATTTTTACGGTATGTTTCCCTAATAAAGGCGTCATTTCTCAAATATATGGCAAACTCAGCTACTTTTATAAAAATAAGAAATATTCTCCAGTTGACAAATGGTCAAACATTTGAACGGGTAATTTTCAGAAGAAGAAATCAAAACTATGAATAGTCATATGAAAGAATGCTTCCAAATCACTAATAGTTAGAAAAATACAAATTAAAACAATTCTGAAGTGCTGTCTCTCACTCATCAGATTGGCTAGGACGATAGAAAAGGAAAATGACAGATGGTTAACAGGGATATGGAAAAATAGGTATACTAATGCCAAATTTGGAACTATGCCCAAGTGTCATAAAACTGTGCATATTCTTTGACCAAACAGTATCCTCCTAAATGTATACCCCTAGGAGACCAAAGAAGTAAGAAAAGGACCCATATGTGCAGAAATATTTATAGCAGCTCTTTTTGTGATAACATAGAATTGGAAACTAAGGGGGATTTCCATCAATTGGAGAAAGGCTAAACAAGTTATGGTATGATTGTGAAGAAATACTGTTGTGGATATTTTCTGAAAAATCTAGGAAGACTTGCATGAACTGATAAAAAGTTAAGTGAGCAGAAGGAACCAGGAGAGCAATGTATACCATAAACATGGTATTGTAATGATAATCAGCTGCAATAGCTGATAATATCTTACATTTATATAGTGTTTTATTGCTTGCAAAGTCCCATACATATGTCGTTTGATTAGTATATATATGTCTCCGTATAATTTTAAAAGCATATATGTCTCATAATTTTTATATTGTGTACCTATAGCTCAGTATAATTAGCATATTGTGTACCTATATGTCTCAGTATAAGTTAAAAACAGATGCATATTGAGTTTATAATATGCCAATCATATATCTCTACTCCCAGAATTATAATGAACTATAGAAAAAGCCTTAGTTGCATAATTAGACCAAGGAAAATACAGATATTTTTGTTTGTTCTGACAGATTTCATGGTTAGTGTTATTTCTGAAGATGAGAGTATCATTAAGAATATTAATCCCACACGGATTTCTATGAAAATGTGGAAACTCTCAGGCAGTGGAAACCGACAACCAGCCAATGTAAGTCACTAGAAAAGTATTCTTAAGAGGGCATTTAGAAATGTTAACCTAACTCCGCTACCTTGATATTTCTAAAATGAAGCTAGTGGCTGGAATATTTGGGGATTTTCTTAATTCTTAACATAATATTATCCATTTATATATTTGGTTAATACCATCCTTTAGAAGGGCAGCTTCTCTAAAGTCTCATCAACATCTTCAAGTAATTTTGTAGGAGGAGGTAAAAAAATGAGAAAAGGAATGTGAACAGAAGTCTGTGGATTTTCCTCAGAGGGCTAAATGGCAGTTGCATATGAAACAAGTTATCTGGGGAGAATAGTTCAAGAACACAAGTTTTATTGTTTCCTAGTGATTCGTAACCTTTAATGAGTTTATCACATGTAATAGAGCAAATTTGGTCCAATCCTAATGTCCATCTCAACAGTTGTCTGTGTTTCTAGTCATTTTTCCTCTATTAATTTATATGTTGTATTGATCATAAGCAACCTTCAGCATGTAGCTATTTCAGAAAGGTGCCTTGTTTTGACTTTTTGAGTTAGAGAAGAAATATATTTACCCTGTATAAATTCTTCCATCATTACACCTGTGTATTAAAAAGGAAAACATAAGTTTATATAAATTTATATAAATTTTTATTCTTTATGAGTCCTGTCAGTCCAGCCACGTAGAAATTAAAGTTGTGTATTTGTCTGTATGAGGTTACTCTACTTAATATAAGCAGTGTTCCATTGGCTTAAAAAAATATATTTTTGCTAAGTGGTATTGTTCAGAATAATGTTTTACATATAGGGTATCCCTAAGTGGCATAATTTAAATTGTCTTCATTTAAATTTTTAATATGGGCTGCCTTATATACTAGCCATAGTATTTGAAATTTTTGTTTTTCTCTTCAGGTAGAAACATTTAATTGTAGTAAAATAAAGGATAATGACAAGGAAGAGGGCTTCTTTTATTTCAGGTATTTCTCAATTGTTTTTGTAATTTGTTAATGAATACTTGTTATAAATTGGTTATCTTGAAAACATTTTTCCCATTCTGGGATAGCATGATAGTAAGTTTAGGAATTACTGATTTCCATATCATTTTATTTTTAGTTCTTTACATGGAAGAAAGGGCAAAAAAAAATTGTCAATTATGTGAGCTACTGTTTTCTGTACTTTATTAATGTTCATAACTATCTTATAGAGAAAAAAGCATAACTTCTATATTATTATAGAGGATACTAAAAATTGTTCTGAATCTTACTGTCTTAGTAGGTGTTTATTAAACACTTTTCATGTGCCAGGCATTATGCTTAGCTAACACTGGCGTTAAAAATAAATCCAAAAACAGTACTTGCCATCAGAGAACATACATTTGAATGGAGAAGACAATATTTAAATATCTAAGTACATAGAAGATGTAAAGAGAGGAGGTGAAGAAAATCTGAAAGAGAAAGGTGTTAGCAAATAAGAGGACATATGGAAGGTGGGATTTGAGCAGAATCTTAAGGGAAGCCAGAGGAAGTTTTAAGAAATGGAGATGGATGGGTATATAGGTAGCTCCTTAAGCATTCTGTGATTGGGAGACAGTACAAAAGCAGAGAGGCAGGAGATGAAAGATTGTGGTCAAGTACCTTCAGGGAAACTGGTGTAAATGGATCGAAGAGTGCTGTGGAGAGGGGGGAACAAGAAGGAAACTGGAATGGAAGGAAGTGGCCAGGTTATGAAGAGATAATTTAGATGATGTAGGAGTCGATATCTGATCTTGGAGGCACTGCAGGTGGTGTGTGTGAGACTTGATCACATGATTTAGAAAAATAACTTTTTAATAGGTGAGTGCGGGATGGTCCAGGGAGGGTTGGGGCAGGCAGAACAACTTGAGGCAGGGATACCAGTTAGAAGGCTATTGTTGCATTAGTCTAGGTTGAGAGGTAATGGGAGCTTGAATTAAGATTGTTGCTGTATGAGTGGAGAGAAGGAGGACATAAATGAGAGATATTGTAAAGAAGATAATATTTGATAACAGGTTGAATAGGAGAGATGCATGAGAGTGAGAAGTCAGGCATAACACTGATGACGGAGCTTGGATGATGGATTGGAAGGATATTGGTGCTCTTAACAATAATAGGGACGTTAAGCAGGGGAGAAGAGTTAGCAAGAAAAGATATGTTAAGTTTGATACACCTATAGGTTGTCTAGTTCCGAAGATCCAACAAGCATTTGGACATAAATGACTAGCTGAGCAGAGAGACTAGGGCTAAGTATTTAGGATCTGGGAATTATCAGTATAAAGGTGATAATTGAATTCGTGGGAGCTGATGGGATCAAATGAGAAAGAATAGAGTGAAAGACAAGAGAACCTAAAAGATAATATAGTAGAAAAAGTGGCATACTAGTGATTAGGAGCCTGAGCCTCTCCTCCTTGCCTTGAAAAAACATATTTTTATAAAACGAGGTTTGTTCAAAGTTGTTAGTACATTAGAAAAAAGAACAGTAGTTGATGTTTAAGTTAAACTATACCAGTGTGACTTTTTTTTCCCCTAAATTAATGAGTTCTGAAAATGCAAACTCTGGAAGAGAGATGAGAAACAAGATAGGAGAGAGCAAACAAATCCTGTGACTTTAAGAAGTACAAACATTCGTTAGAATATTCAGGAATTTCTTTCATTTCACAAAAACATGCTAGCAGAATTTAAAATCACAGAAAGAATTTTCTAATTTCTCAAAATTAATCACCCTACAATTTTGCAGTCTTCTATTTTTCTACAAACAGGACAGGAATGTTTTCCATCCAGAACAGATATTTCTACAAAGAAAAACAGGAGGAAGCACTTTAGGAATCAAGACGTATCAACTAATGTTCGACTTTTACTCAGTTCCCTTTTATGGATTTTAGAAAAAGAAACAACGCGAACCCTAAATTTCTCTCCTTATTTAACTTTTAATATTTTATCTTTTTAATTAAGGGATAAAGTGATTCCAAACAAAGTGGGCAGTTACTGCATCCAGTTTGCTTTTATGGTCGACAAATCTTCTGTTCTCAACAGTGATCAGGTTTGTCTTTAGCTTTTACGTAGTACCATGTGATATGCGGCCTGACTGAAAACTGAAATTTTGGTATTAACTTGATATTCTGATTCTGTCTTTGTATATTTTATATATGTTATCAGTTTTAAAAAATACTTTAAATTTAGAAAGTGATAAAACTTATTTTAGATTATTTTTTATGTCCCATACATTTTATTTGATTTGATTCAAAAGGCATATTAACAATCATGGATCTCAGCATCATGAATTTTAACCAGTATTCATTGAGCAAATAGAACACATAGAACTCTGCATGTATAAATATTGTACGTAACATTTTTTAAAAATTCTGATTTACAAAGTTCCCCCAAAAATAGACTTCTGGATAGAATTTTAGTTTACTTTCTATATTGTAAATAATTGAAATGTCATATGATTAAGTTAATTTCCAAATGTCTTAAAATTTACAGTTTTTAAAATCAGTTGTTATTAGTTTTTAGAATGATTTTTTTTGTGTTTTGGTGTCAGGCATTTTATTTTAGTCTTATTTCTTTTAAAATATTTTAACTGAATACATAAATATCTTAGAATGTCAAAAAAAAATTGGTTATAAGCCATCACTTTAAGAAATAAAGAATAAGAAATAATTCTAACATATACATATGTGAGCAAGTTGTTAATCAAATTGTTTTCCTTTTCTAAGATTTTAGTTGATGTCATACCTAATGAACCAGTCAAGTTAGTTCCTGAATGTCTGCCATCTACCCCGGCTGTTTCTAATGTTCCACCTATTGCCAATAGGACCTTAGTCAAAGACCTGTGCCTTAACATCGTGGTAATGTTTGCATTTTACAAAGTTATCACAAAATAATTACTTTTGGTTTTATGTTAAATGTATTGAGAAGACTGTATAAGGTTTTTAGACTAATAGAGAATTAGGTGATATGATAATCGAGTGACTCTTCTGTCTCAATTATCCATTCTTAGACATAAGCAATCTGGTGGAAGTGGAATTTTGGCAACCTTAGCATGGTAGCAATAGTAATCCTTTATTTATCTGGAAGCAATTTATTTGTTAATCTTAATTATCTTGTTCAGAAAAGCTAAGAACCTACATGTTCAGGGATGGAAGAAAACCTGACTATCCAAAAAAAGACATTTTAAAGTTTATGCACAAAACTCATATTTTATCCTAGGAAAAACCCTTACTGAAAGTTTATTTACTATATGCAGTGCTTTGCTCCCATGGAGATTTAAAAATGTATGGATGTGGGTGTGTATAATTGAATAACTTTAGTTTTAGAAACAATTTTGATAGCTTAGCTATGTGGTAGATTTAAGCTCCCTTGTATTTAACCAGTTTTAGCCATCAGGATACACAGCCATTAGGACAGACCTTCAAGCTAAAAGTGAATTATCTCCTTCTGCCCTCAAGATAAGTAATAATCAGCTATATAGCAAAAGACAACTCTACTCACACTTAAGACACTATGAGCTATAATGCTACTGACATCAATAGCACAGAGTGGGAAGCAAAGTATAAAACACAATATTGGGCAAATTTTCCAGCTGTTCCTGAGCCAGGTCTTCATAGTATGGGGCTTCAGGATTTTTCATCAAGCTTTGTTTGAACCCCAGGTGAATTTGAGGGTAGAAATATAAATATAAAGGAAGATAGGAAAGGTTTAAGGAATATATGAACTACTCTTCCCCATCATTAACATGCATAATCCAGAACTGATACTGAAGAACTTTAATACTAAATATTGAATAATTAATTATTCTATCTTAGTACAAAATACTTGGGACAACATTTTAAGACAAACTACTCTATCTAGTAACAGGTATAAGAATAAACAATGTATTAATCCATGTTTTGTATAAGTTATATAGCAATATAGGTTCTAATCAGAGGGCCCTATAATAGTCCTCAAGCTTTAATGTAATGTTCATTAGTATTTTACCAGCTATGGAGCGTACTTGTGTAACTGCAAGAATGCTGACATGGATATCTCCATCCTGTTTTGCTAAAATTCCATGACCAAACTAAGTATGAGTGGCATGGTACGGAAAGGCTCTCCTCGATATGTTTTTGGAGCATATGGTATAGCTTGTATCTCCTTTTTCCCAACCTAACGAGGAGCATATCCATCTTGTGACCACCAAGTCAGCGGAGATATTCCTTGCTTCACTATGCTAATGTATCAGTTTTGCTTATTTTAGTTTATGTGTCATGTATCAACCAATGGGATTCTTAGTTTATATGTCGTATGTCAACAAGTTGGATTCTATATTTTGTGTAGCCACTTTAGAATGTTCAGGTGACAAATCTGCTATCAAACCCTATTAAAATAAGGTACTCGAAGGAAGGGTATTTCAGATTGTGAGGAAGGTCTGAGGTCCACTTCTTTAGAAGGGGCCAGGTCGCTTTAATAAAGTGCTTTGGCTCAGAGCTCTGCCTCAGTTTCTCTTTTAGTCCTTTGGGGTGATTTTGTCCCTATAGTCATAGACTTTAAGCTGGCAAGAATTTATCTTGAGCTGGCAAAGAAATTATCTTAGATTTCACCCCCCAACCCTATGCCCCTCATTTACCAGATAAAGACCATTAGGCTCATGTAGGTTAAATGAGTTTTTGCCAAAGTGATTTTCTTTCTCCTACTAATAAATTCCAGTGGTGCCCTTTTAGGTCACTTTGTTGGTCCCCCAGCTACTAGTGCTTTCTCTTCCAAAGGTTACCTTGTGTGTTCTTTGTACATATCTCTCTATGTGTATGTTGTCTCTCAGTGGAATGTGAGCTCCTTGAATGCAGATATATCACTTTTATATTCCTAGTGTCTGGCATAATACCACGTACACAGTTACATTGCTCTTTATAAGTGCTTGATTAAATAAGTTCACATGGGTAGTAGAGAGTAGAATGGCAGGTCTAAAGTCAGTGGTCTTTTCATTCCACTACAGTGCATTTTTAACCTTGGTTCCTTGTTCTCAGTAACTCAATGAAAGAGAGTACAGTTATTGACTATATTTGGTAAAAAATTAAATAAGGAAAAAGAGAAAGTAAGTGAATTACCAGAAAGGTGGTGCAGATTGGTGACAATATCAGCATTGACAGGTGAATTTAGAACCCCAGTTATTTGTGTAGTACATTTAGTATCATTTTTTCCCATTGCTTTGTTTTTTTTTTCATTCCTTTTGCAGTTTTTTTTTTTAATGTTTGCACCGTAAAGATCAGAAGGACAAATATGAGTCAGTGTTTGGAGTACCATATAAAATTCAGCATATCTGGGACTTGTATATCTCTTTACAGATTTTTATTCCCAAAAGATTATTCTAATTAATTATGACTTTCTTTAATTTAAGGATGAACACAATAATCGCACTGGAACTAATTTGATTGGCAAGATAATTGCTAAAATTAAAAGTTCTAATGATGAAGATACTGAGATTCCACTTTTTAATGGGAAAGTTAGAGTGGTTGAATTTCCATTTATCAAGGGATCAGCTGAAATCAAGGTAATTTTTCACCAATACTTTATAAAATTTTTGTTGGTATCTTTTATTTTTATATCACCTAAATTTCCTTCTCTATACCCTCCTTCACCTCTCCCAGAAAGCTTTCCCAAAGAACAAAGAATATGTTTTAAAGAAAACAAAAGAAAAAGTAGATGAGAAAAAAGTGAGCAAAATCCGTCATTGAAAAATACGCAGTGTTCCATATCTATGGACTTCCACCTCTGTAAAAGAATTTGGAGGAGGTGTTGTCTCTTAATCTCTTTTTTGGGGCCAACCTTTTTTTTTTCTCTTGTGCAACATTGTCTTTTGATTGTTTTGTGGTAGCATTTCTTGTAGTTTATATAGTTATATCCTCTCTTCTCTCTCACTCCCCCCCCTTATAATTTTTTAAAAGTCAGCATGGTGTAGTGAAAGTCACTTAATTTCTGAGTGTAAAGCAATTTCCTAAGATTTAGCTACTAAGTTATAGACGAGGTATGATCTGCATTCTTGGAAGGAGTTCCTATACTAACAAAATTACAGATAACTTAATTTGGTGACATATACTTCTTATGTGGGGAGAAATGTTATGTGAAGCTACTATTTTAGGTACTAATTTTCTTTATAATCTTGTGATGTTGCAGTGCTGTTGTTCTAATGGAGATTTTTTAAAAAAATAGAATGACAAAAAGATTTTGTGCTTTTTGCCAGTGCTTTTAAACCAATGATTTCTTCATTGCCAATCCATTGGTCTTTTATCAAACCCTAGCTTCTTTGTTTATGCAGGATTTGACACGGTTATTTTCTTGAGGGTAGGGATTATTTTGTTTTTTCCCCTTTATATTCCTAGCACCTAGCACAGTGCCTGTCATATAGTTGGTGCTTAACAAATATTGATTGATTAACCATAATTTCCCATTGAATACTCTTTCATCTGAATATTTATGACATTAATTTCTCTTGTTTCTTCTTCTGTCTCCTCAGTCTCTTTCCTTATGCTCTCCAAATGTAGATTTGCTTAAGTGTTCTGTCAGGAGTCCTCTTCTCTCTATATTCTCTCTTGGTGACCTCAGCTCCCGTCATTTTAGTTATCTTTATGAAGATGACCCTGAGATCTATGTATTTAGCTCTGGTTTCTCTCTTGAGATCAAATCCTTCATTACCAGCTGCTTAGAGGACATTTCCAAAGATGTCCTGTAGGGATATCAAACTCAGCATATCCAAGATATGGGATTCATTATCTTTTCTGTCCATTGTATCACCATCCTGCCATTTACCCAGCTCTGCAACTTAAGAGTCATTATTAAATTCTCACTTTGCTACATCCCTCCAAAGTCTAGTCATTTCCTACCTAGTGTTGATTCTGCACCAATATCTTTCACATTAACCCCTTTCTTTCCACTCACATAACACTTTAATTCCAAGATTAGACCTGCATCATCCTTTGCCAGGATTGTTACAATATCCAAGGGACTGTCTTTTGTCTTTTTTTTTTATCCTAGCACTAACACAGCATTGATATTTAGTAAATTTTTGTTGATTGGATTATAAGTAGAACTTAAGAAAACCTAGGTAACAGTGAAAAGGTGAGAGCTTCTCTATTTTAGGTAATTTTAAAAAGTTACTTTGTAGAAATTGCTTTCCCCAGATACATACCTATTGTTAGATTCATTTTGAATTCTTAAGTAATCACTGGATCTAGAAGATGCCTCACATATTTAGGATACACTAACTTCTTTCTTCTCCAATTTCCAGAGCTGTCTTTTCCAACCTACCTTGTACTTAAATTACTTTGTATATATTCACATTTGTTAACTTTATGCTATGTGACATTTTTATATGTACTTGTCTCTCCTGTTAGAATATAAGCTCCTTGCAAGTCGGCACTGTTTTGTATTATGTACTTTTTTCCGTAGCCTATAGTACATACACATGATGATTGACTGTATCATAGGAACATAGATCTAGATCTGGAATAGACCTCAGAGGCTATGTATGCCAAACCTTTTATTTTCTTGTTGGGAAACTAAGGGTGTGCCAGATTTAAATAACTTTTCCAAGGTTGAATAGCTTAAGAGTCACAATCAGTTCCAAAGTTCTTAAGAGAGACCTTGAGAGTGTCATTGTATTGTTTCTTCTAACCACTTCATGAGTGCTTGCCCTGTGTTAATTCTCCATAAAATAGTGTCTTTGGCAAGCGTACGTTTTGTATTTGAACAGCATGGCCAGCCTATAGGCGTTGCGCTCTCTGAAGTAGAGTTTGAATACTTGGCAATTTAGTTCAAGAAAGGATCTCAGTGTCTGGCATCTTATCCTGCCAGGTGATCTTCAGAATCTTCCTAAGACAGTTCAAATGGAAGCGATTCTGTTTCCTGGTATAGCACTGGCATACTGTCCAGGTTTTACAGGCATACAGCCATGAGGTCAGCACAATGGACCTTCAGTTTGGTAGTCAGTCTAATACGTCTTCTCTCCCACACTTTTCCTTCAGAGGCTGTCAAACACTGAGCTAGCTCTGGCAGTGTGTGTATCAATCTCATTATCAGTGTTTACATCCCTCGAAAGTACACTACCAAAGTAAGTGAACTTAATAGCATTCCAAACTTCTCCATTTGCTGTAACCAATGGTTCCCTGTAGGGATGGTGTGGTGGTGGATGATCGAGCACTTGTGTTTTCTTGGTGTTAATTATTAGGCCAAAATTAGCGCAGGTAGCAGAAAATCGATCCATACTTTGTTGCATCTCAGCTTCAGAGCCTTCATTGAGTGCACAATCATCTGCAAACAGAAAATCATGCACCAGCACTCTTTCTGCTTTGGTCTTAGTGTGTAGCCTTTTCAAGTTGAGGAATTTGCCATCAGTGTGATAGCTGATCTTGATGCTGTGTTTGTCCTCATTGAAGGTATTTGACAACATGGCTGAAAATACCATGGTAAAAAGCATAGGGAGCAAGCACACAGACTTGTTTCACTCCATTGGTGACTGGTAAAGCATGAGAGCATTGTCTGTTATCCACAGCCTGGGCAAGCATGCGTCATGAAAGTGATGTACAGTGCTGATGAACTTCTCCAGGCAACCAAATTTTGACATAATTTTTCATAAATCCTCACTACTGACGGTAGCAAAGGCCTTGGTCAGATCTACAGACATTATGTACAGACCTCTGTTCTGCTCTTGGCATTTCTCCTGGAGTTGTTGAGCAGCAAACACCATATTGATCATTCCTCAGCCCTCCTTGCCAGGAGGACTCTAGCAGGAATCTTGCCAGTAGTTACTAAGAGAAGGGGTGCATCCCCCGGTCCTGTCCTCCTGTGTTGTCTGTGCCCGCCCGCCCCGCCCCCCCATTTTCATAGGACACTCTATTTCCTTTACTTTTATATGGAGTCATCCTTGAACTCCTGGAGGATAACCTCCTCTTGCCATATAATGTGAAAAATTTCAGTCAGCTTTTGTATGAGCAGTGGACCCCCCTATCTTGTATGTCTCAGCTGGAATAGAATCAACACCAAGTGCTTTGCCTCACAAAAGAAGCCTAATGGCATTCAAAATCTCTTCAGTTGGAACTTCAGCTAGGGAGGGATTGACTCCAACTTAAGATAAATGGTCAGTGGCTTCAGCAGTGATTGATGATGGGCTGGTGAGAACACCATGGAAGTGTTCAGCCCATCACTCTAGGATCATGTCCTTATCACTAATCAATGTGGCTCCATCAGCACTGGTAGTTGAGATATATCATAGGTCTTTGGCCTGTAAATAGCCTTCAGGGCATTATAAAAGTACTTTGGATTGTTACTCTCAGCATCAAACTGAATTTCAGCTGCCTCCTTACTGAGCCAAGAATCCTGTATCTCTCTCAGCTTTGCTTGCACTTTACTTTTGATGGAATTAAATGTTGCCTTTTTAGAGATGCATGAACTTTCCTGCTGGTAAACCCTGTGGGGTTCTTGTTTTTTCATTTAGCAGCTTCTGAATTTTCCCTGTCATTTTCATCAAACCAGTGTTGATGTTTCCAAAGTGTTCTGGTCCAGATGAGCAGATGCAGAGCTAATACACCTAATCTCTGAAAGCTGCCTACTTCTTTTGTGCTCCACTGTTGCCAACTCTATGTTGGCTCAATTTTCCCTCCAAATTAGCAACAAACTGTTCCCTCTCAGAGAAGAGCTCTAATTTCTTCACATTAATTCTTCTGGTAGTTATTTTGTCTTGGGGACGCTGCTTTTATTGAATGTGAATATTTAGCTTGGAGAAAATAAGTCTACGATCAGTCCAACCTCTATGCCACATATTGCTTTCTCTACTCTCACAATTTGTCTGTCTTTTCTCCTTATAATCACGTAGTCTATTAAATGCCCATGTTTGTCACGAGGTACATCCATGAAGTTTTATTGCATTTAGGTAAATGAAGACAGTGTTGGTAATGAGGTCATGAGATGCTCAAGTCTTCAGTAGTAAGTTACCATTACTGTTGCTGTTTCCAACTCTGTTCCCCTCTAGGACTGGTAGTCTGAGCCTACTGTAGCATTAAAGTCACTCAGAATTATAAGCTTGTCCTCTTTTGACACATTGATGATAAGGGTCTCCAGGTCTTCATAGAATTTTTCTTTGACCTCATCAGGGTTCATCATGGTGGGAGCATAGGCACTGATGATGGTGACGTGACATTTTCCTACAAGTGGCAATCTAATTGTCATGAGCCTGTCATTCATTCCTTTAGGTAGGCATACAAGCTTGTTTACTAGATTAGCTTTGATTGCAAAACCTACACCATCTTTGTGGCGCTCCCTTTCACTGCAGCTACTCCAGAAAAATGTGTATCTAGATCTGACTTCGGTAAGCTGGACTTCATTTGCCAGCCTAGTTTCACTCCGGACTGCTTTTTGGATGCAGTGCCTTCTGAGTTCTCTTGCAATAAGAGCTGCTCATGTTTCAGGTTTACTGGATATTGTATTGTGTATAAGTGTGTGCACATTCCATGTGCTGATGGTGAGTGGAATCGTCTTTGCAGATGTTTTTGTATATTT